TTCTGCAGGAATGACAACCCGCTTACTCTTTAGTGGGCATTTATTTCTTTCATTGAGTGATTCGAATCGCATGGTAAGCTGGCAGGCAATTTATTAAGCCATCTGCCGATTGGAACTATCCAGAAAATTTGTTATGGATACTTAATGCTGAAAGTGTTGCATCAGTATTCGAGTATATCCAATCGGCTAGAGAAAGCCATTTTTATGTCTTCTTCGGAATTAACGAAGTGAGGCATCAGCTTCTTCGAGCTTCGTGGTTTGTTTATACTTCATTTGAAAGTCATAATGTAATAACGTTGTAGACTCTCCGCTGTATACATTAAGACGTTCTTCTACCTCCGAAAAAAAAGTCTAATGATGACCCAATTCTGTATATGAACTTCCTGAGCCGTCACTAATACAAATGTCTTCTTTCTTTGATCAAAAACTTCCTCAGTGTCATCTAATCAATTGTACGAAATCACAGCACCAAGATTGCGCTGGTAAGCATCGATTACAAAACCCTTTATACTCGTGGGTACATTCGAGCGGGAATCGAAGACTTCTTGCGTCTCACTTAGACTCCTCTGACATCGTCCTCTTCTATAAATAATTATCTAGCTGCCAACCCTTTTAATGTTCGATTGCCTGCTTTCTACTTTAACCAATGAGCCTAGATCTCATTTTTGTGTGCAGAAAGAACCATTTGTACAAAGCGATTTTTAGGTTCTAATTTTCAGTACTGTTCCTCTCTTGCCTTTACCGTCATCAAGGTAACCGTAAGCATCTTCCATAGCTGACATGACTGTTTCTTAGTTGTTGCAATTTAATGGACGCAGGTTTCACACCGTACAGTACCTATCGTACTAACTGCCTTCGTCTAAAATACTTCTTTACTGAATCCGCTTTCGAGAAGCATCGACTGTCGGTAAATTCTGGGAGTATGTCGTCAGTAGACAATAAAGTTCATAAAGTATCATTTAGGTTTATTGAAAAATTGGCGCAACGTCTCACGATAGTTTCTTTACGAATCGGTGCTGGCCACTCGGTAACACGGCTTAGGACACCGTAGAAGTTCGTTCACCTTTAACCCATAAAGGAACATGAAGTACAGAATGTGTCTTAATAAAACCCAGGTGTTCACTAAGAAAATAAAACGGTCATTTTCTGTAGATGTTCTGCTAATCACATTGCTGGCCACCGTGACCATGCTGCTGAGCATTGAACTGGGAGGTTGGATATCACCCGCAAAGATCCGTTAATTCCAGGCCTCGAAAAAAAGTTCAAGCACAATTTTGAGACCACTTTACCCATGATATGCCCTAAAGATTCTCCTGATTGTTAGCAACGAAACAATCGCCGCGGTGTATCTCCTCCAAGTTCTCGAAGAGATATTCGAGGTTTCCAATAGCAGTTGCCTTGAGCCGTAGTGCGGATCTCATTAGAGACAGTCAACGTCTTCAGACCGTCTTAGAATCGTTTGGACACACTCAGTTTTGTCCTCTAACCCTCCTTCTATCACGCCCGGGAACCTGCATTCATGCAATTGCATTTTCGGCGGCAATTGGATGTTTAGGATTGTGCATAGGAATATGTAATCTAGGTCATGAGTCTAGAATTCGAGTTTTAGAAGCATTTGATTGCGCATTTATAAATCGAACGAGCCTCCTCTTCAGCAAATACGCGAGGACGGGCCTGATATGCATAAATGTGGTTCTTCAAGGTTTCGTTCGTTTCAGAACTCTTAGAATCTGAGACACTTATTTATCCTCCTCATTTTCAGACTTAGTTAGATCATATATCCAAAATGTCACTGATTTCGGCAATATTGTCGACAACTTTGCAATATTTGCTGTACATCAATCTGCTGTCCTCACTCTTCTGTACTCCCATATAATTCTATCGACCACGTCTTAAAGATATGCTCTACTGCCGAGTCGTCCATGGCATTGCGTTCTTGGGAGTAATCCAAACGGGAGTACATATTGCTCACAATCAGTTTTGTAGGCAAGATTCTCGCCTCCTTCCATCGTTCGCTGCCAATAGTTTCTACGCTTACCTTATCGTCTCGTAGATATGCGTGCGTAACCTACACTCTCACGAAGCAGGTTTCGAAGAGTCTTTGTTCTCATTTTGTCTGGGCTCATTTTCTCTTGCAGACTCAAAAGGGTTTTTGTCGTCAGTTCAGAGTAATTTAAAGAAGGACTTCGTTTTAATTTTGGACTAGATCAGTATTGCAACATTTCTTTCAATGGTCTGCTTTCATTAATTTTTCCAGCAGTATTATGCATTTGTCTTCACTTTTCCTTTCACTTCTTAACATATTTAATTATTTTTGACGGAAACTTTTGAGGCCAGGCATTAAAGAGCTTGCTCTGGCGACCAGGCTTCTTTTTTTTAGATACTCTCGTTCGATCGCCAACGTATTTTCTGTGTTCAAAATCCTTACACTCTCACTGAATACAAAGGATAATTTTATTCGGGCAGGATCTGGTTTAATTCTCGGAGCTACTTTTTTCTCTCGTTTACATTGATGTGAAAACACCACTTACTGCTCCGTTATAAATCCGTCTAGAAGCCCGTTACTGGCTTCCTATTAGCCGCTGTTTGATAAGAGGCTGTGGGTGGGTAAGAAGCCGTGTTTCCACATGCGCTTCTCCCAGTGTAGACTACCTGAATCATTTTTAACTCACGACCAATTCTAGTGGAGTACATCCTTTAGGCCCAAGATCCGTCCAAACAACTCCGAGTAGTCCTCTCGACTATAGAGCCCCGCTGTACACGGCACGACTGCCTCGATCTGTTACGGCACGTTTTGACTTTGGAGGACGGAGGAGGGAAAGGAAATCTTAGAAGAGAGAGGAGCATTATTTATGGTCCAATCTAATACCCTAGAGGATTTTCACTTACCTTATTACTACTTCAAGTTGATTAGTGGATATTGAATTATCGTCAGTCCGCATCACAACTCCTCGTGTATTCTCGGAGTTTCTGTCCGACTAGTTCCTCGTATTACATGTTTATTACATTATTATATTTACCCGTGATCTTGTTTTTAAGGCCAAACATTGTACCATCTAGATCAGTATTTATCAGTCTATTTTTCAAAAATAGGTCAGTTTCTTAGTTAGGGAATCTAAGTCGCCGAAAGTTTTTTGTCGAACCGAGTGTATAAGCAAATATATTAATTATCGCTAATTGTCCGAAACGTGTGTCTCGATTGATGAGGAATACCGTTTATGAGTACCAATAGATACAGACTTGTAGCTCGAGCTCAATCAATTTACCGCCAAACTGAGGACGTGGCATCCACTACTCCGCTCGAGTAGACCAGATCTGTTCTAACAATAAAGGTCCTTGAAGCTGGCCAGCACTTCGAAAGTTGCAGCAAAAAGTACATCATTCGCTTGTCGCTCTTAAGCATTGCTAATTCCCCAAAAGAGAACTTCAAATCCGTTCAAAAGCCTGTCGTTATCAATGGTGTACGAACGAGCAGATACGACCGTGCCCCATAAGACCGCATCACGCCCGAAGCGGTCTGCTTCTAATGCTATTCCAGGAGAGCAAAGCGTTTTTCATGCAAAAAGCCCGAAAGCATCAATAACACCGTTTTGTGCGCGAAAGAAAGAGGTTATTAGCATCACAATATCTATGCTGCTCCAATCTACATATATTTAGCACTTAATTTCTAATGTAGTTGCTAACAATTAATAGTGATAACGGCTTTCTTGTCGAAAATCACTGATCATCGGCTAGGGACCTACAGCGCCATTCTGGGGTCAGCCACGGTGCTACTTTCAATTTTCATTCGACTTACGTAGTTTTTCGAGTACCATGAGTTGGTAATATGAATTTTCATCCATATCTTCATGCATATAAAAAATAGACAAAAAGAAAGCACTCTTAGGCTTCGATCATGGACGGCTGGCGCGAGAGGCACTCTTGTGTTCGATAAGAACTTGTTCTTCATTCAGTTTAAGTGAAATGCTACTTCTTAGCTTTGAAACAATCAACATTTGCAACGAGTGCTACCCGATATTTAACATCGGGTAACATGTTATGGAAGCTTTGTTTCCATAACATGACCAATAGTGAGCTTATTTGACTTGAGATAGCCGTGAAAACGTAATAGTTCCATCTATTACAGAAAAAAAACGCTAAATGGAAGATTTCAGGTCAGAAATCTTAAACGTCATTTACGTCACAGTGTTATCCTGGGGAAACACCACTCCCGTGGTGTTTCCCGTGTAATCGGAGCTACCCTGAAAAACATTGTTAACTTCCCAGGCCGTAGTGTCGTTCGCAAGTTGTCTCACCAATGCTATCGTCCCTATAGACCTTCGAGTCCGTATTGGGGGTGTGTGTGTGCGGGTGTGCGTGTGCGCGTGTGCGTGTGTGTGCGTGCGCGTGTGTGTGCGTGCGCGTGTGTGTGTGTGCGTGTGTGTGTGTGTGTGTGTGTGTGTGTGTGTGTGTGTGTGTGTGTGTGTGTGTGTGTGTGTGTGTGTGTGTGTGTGTGTGTGTGTGTGTGTGTGTGTGTGTGTGTGTGTGTGTGTGTGCCACTGCGCCCGCTGCAGTACGATCGGAGCTGCTAGCGGTTGCGGATGGAACAGTATCATCGGCAAGCACTCAAATACATGTTAAAATCGTGTAGAGGTGTTGTTTGATACTACTTTAGAGTTATCGGGTTAACTGTATAAGTTATTCATAACAAATACTTCAATGACGGCACAATATGGCTGCGGGAGATCCTGATGACAGGTATGAGACAACTACGCAAGCCTCAGCATATTAGAATAGCGAAGTAACGTCACTTAACACACTTAATATTTTTTTAAACCATAAATACGTCCGGGTAGAACACTGGTTTCAGCATTTATGCAACGGTTTCAAACAGCTAAAAATTACGTCAGATTATCTTTGTGACAGATAGATGGCTTTCTCATTCAGGCCTTCCTGGATGAATGGCGGCCTCTGTCTTGATTCGGCTGTCAATGTAAAGAACAAGTTTTGAAATTCAAAAAAAAGGCTACATTTATTCCTCAGACACAAACTTGGCCTGCTTAACATGAATGTCTTGGCAGAGAGGAACAGTCTTAGACGAAGATGTGGAAATAGATGCACAAAAAAAATTCACACCGAGATGCTTCTATTGCATTGCAAATTAAGCAGAGAGCATAGCTAGACTCCTTTTGTGTAACTCGCAAATGGGATTATACATCAACAGACATGACCGTTAATTGTTCAGTGCTTAGCCTCACTTTCATTGTTTAGGAAGCATTTGAAGTAGTCGGCGATATCGATCGACTGCTAAATCGGGATATCGATCTCAGTCCTGAAGGTGACTCCGACTTCGTAGGCGAAGTTTCTGGATGTGCAATCGACTGTCTCGTTGGAGCAGTCTCTGATTTCACTGCGGGCTTTGCCATGGCATCGAATGCTTCGATCTTCGCTTCCTGCTTAATCCTGCCAATCAGTAGCCCTGCAAGGACAACCGTCATCACCTCAAAAATGATTGAGCCAAAAGCTATCGTGCCCATTAAAGTCGTATTGTGGCTAAACCAGCTATTGATGGCTACCGTACATCCCTCTAGATATAACTCTTCCTGCTTTCCTTTCTTGCATAAGTACTTGTAGCTCTGTAAGTTGAACTTATCATAATCTTCTATACTGTTCGCGCCGCAACATCTGAGCCTCGACTGAATAACGCTCAACACGGTTAAGCACATCAAACCTGCTTCATTCCCATACTGTTTATCTGCTGTAGCCAGCAACCCGTTCATTAGGTCGTCCGCAACCTTGGCCAGTACCTTTTTATTTGTAAAAATCCATAAGAGACCGATAGGGACTACTTCGGCCATGACCAGAAGTACCATTAGGATCATATAGGACACGAGCACCAGACGGGCTCCAAAGCATACCCCATAGAAGCCCCATAAAATCACGAATACAACAAGGCAGCTTATTATAAGAACGAGGATTGCAGTGGTATTAATTAACGAGAGTTCATCCCTGATCTGCGCTTGACCTAACTTCGTACTGATGAACATGACTGCTCCCGCACCGCAGGCAACTGCGACGGCGATCACTATGATGAGCGAACTCAGCAAAAAAAACCAGTACAGCAGATAGCAGTTGTAACAATTCATTCTGGCAGTAACTTGGCAAACATTGGTCCGATAGCGCACCTAGCAATCTCGCTATCGTTGCTGTTTTATTTTCGCCAACTAAATAAAATTTTAGGCAATACTTCTGTGACGGAGGCCGTGTCAGTACCCACAGGATGCTCGATAATAGAAACGATTACGAGTCGCACGCGTGATATTTACTCAAACCCCCTAAGCGAAGTCGCTGCAGGTAAAGACGTAATTGCCTTAGTACACGGTTGCCAATATGCAAGTACCTCGTCTAGCCTATTCGTTCGATATTTCTTCGACAAGGTCCATTAAATATGATGTATTCAAAACGTACCAGATAATAGTGGAAGTTTATGTGAGTTTAGACACCATGTCATCTAAGCCAAACAAAGACAGCAAAGTAATACATAAGGAAGTCTTAGCGTATCAATTTCTTCGGTATTACAGCACCTGCATTCTGATCGAGCTATTCTACTGCTCGTCGGTTTAACGCTTCGTCGTTTCCTCATTGAAGTAGCGGCCTGAGTAGACTTAGTGCGTCGCGGCCTAAGGCTGGCTGACTGGCTGGCCGGCTGGCTATTGTCTGGGTATATCTAAAATGGCGTCAAAATAGATGTATACCAATCGCCACTGGCCATTGAAGGCGCTGTTCGTATGGATTAATTTCTACTGTGTACTGAATAGCATTGGTATTTCGCTGCATATCATTGTATTCGTTAGCACTGATAGGGCCAGCGAACGCGACCCCTCTCCTAGAGAATGACCTATAGTTCTACCGATTTAGAATGAGAATGGACGGTAGAATCCACCTTAAATACAAATATAATATTTTTCATAGTGTACCGCCACGCTTGGCACAACGCGTGTCTTAATCTAACCCGCTCAATAAACTTGAAGAAGAAGAACACGTTTCATGAGAACATACCTCCACTACAAAAAATGTCTTCACATTGATGCCTAAGCTCTTAATAGAAAAGGTCGCTTTGGGTCTTATACGGTAACGCTGTACGTCTGCTTGATGTCGTGATATACACAGCCTGCCTCAATGAGTATATATGAATTGGCCGTTTTTATAGATAGAATATTTTAACGGGAGTTATAGAGACGGCGGCGTAGCGGTTCATTATCTGACAGTTTGCAACATGATGAGCTCGACTTTCTTTCCGCTTGCCACATTTTAATCCAAGATGTGCATATACAAATAAAGTCTCACGGTTTCCCGACTCGTTTAGGTCCTTTAAGATATAAGACAGGAAAGGTACACTAAACAGTTGAGCCGTGGCAGAATCTAGGGTAGCTAATGCTGCGCAGCGTACAAAAACCGTGATAAAGCTATACAGAAATTAGTGAATATTCGTATAGCTACAACGGCAGTGGCCAATACACGAACATGGTTATTCGGTTCACTCACATATATATATATATATATATATAGGCTTGTGTAGTTCTGTGCCACACAGCATTCTCTTCCATCAGATTACTTTTAACTTTACCTTTTCAATGCAAAGGCAGCAAACATGGGAGCACATGGGCATATCTTATATAGAGCTATTGATCTTTCTCTGTTTGCTCGTTTCGATATTAAGTGCACGTAAATACGTGTATCTGTCGTACTGGTTTGCGTATGAATGTGGTGTCCGAATTGAGTGAAACACACCCATTTATCAGTCCATCGATGTTCCTGCTGATCCGTGAGGAGCACCACTAACCGGCGGTAGTCATGCTCTGCTCGACAGCGGATAACCCCGCAGATTAGTATGTCACAGACGAGCTGCGTGCTGCCCTTTTCATATTTATTTTATAACACCGTACCACTCGCTAGTCCTAGCAGCGGCAAAACAAGAGGGGGCGTAAGAACAGGCTGTGGACTGCGACTGGCTGGCCCTAGTAGACAAATGGCACAGGCCGCCTTATCGCTTTGCTCGTTTCTGACGCCGTTGTAATAACGGTTCTCGTAGTGATCGTTGCGGGGGTCGCCGGTTCTCGGACTGCTGCTACGACAACGGTTACGACACTCCGGGACGCGATTCCCGCACCGTTGTCGCCATCAGCGAGTAAAGATGCTGGCAAATGGATCTATGAATGATGTGCTTATTACCAGTATCTGAGCGCGTCAAAAATGCCAAAATTTCAGCGAGGGCCACTCTATGTATAAGCGATAGATATTGTATTCTGTAGCATAGCAGTATTATGCGCCTAAATATGCAACATTATACTGAAATATACCACCCGACCAAGTTGTAGCGCAATAATTAAAGTCTAGAAATCGGCTATTTGTGTCTTTGCGAATCATACCACCTTTTACGTCCAGTGATGGTAACTGCATGAACTATTGCCTACAGGTTAGGTAGAGAGACAGTGTGGCAAGTAGAAGGGCCATCGTTAACCTGCAGCTGTGTGTTGTGAAGACTCATTTGAAGTTACTCCGTTGCTTTGTGGAGGCTTTGTATGCCAGTCTGTTATATTCAAATAGCGACCAGTCTCGCGTACGCCTAGAGCAGACGATGGATTGAGTAACTGCGCGATCCGGACCCAGGCCACCTGTATCGTCACTACTAGTGGCTTTTGTTTAGCTGTTCTTTCCGCCATTCCCGCGCTGAGAAGAGTAGCCACGGCTATCAGTATTACCTATTCTGCGGCCGCACTCACTAAATCACGTCGCAGTTGTTATGTAACAGCCTCAATCTCTATGCCCCTGTATCCCTTCCGGCAGTGAAGATTTCCGAACCCGTCTTAAAAGTCTCCACGGCAGTAACTGTCCTTACTCTTTTCTGTTGCTATTTAGTTTCCTGCTACCGCTGCCATTACAGCTAGCTAGGAAGGTCCAGCTTTACTATATGCAGCTTAGGTCGCTGCTTACCCTGCTGCTATGTCAAAGGTCCATAGCCTGGTTGGAAGTTCCAGTGCTCTCACGTATTATGCTAACGGCTTTACTGTTCAAACCAAGTTTTCCCTTGCGGCAAATCTTACCGCTCGTGCTATTGCTTCAGTTTCTGTGTACGCCATTTCTTATAACACGAGACTAGCTTCTCCCATATATTCTATGCCCGTTACAGCGTTCACCGCCGCTCCTACATCACGAACATATTCAACCCTATACGTTCACCGTTAGCATTCATAATCGGTCTATTTAACGCTTTCAGTTACCAGCGTCCGTACCATCCATGGACCCACCTACTTCATTCCTGTCGGTGTACTCAAGTAAATACGTTAAGATCGCGATAAGAAACGCCAAAACATTGCAGTAGCTATAATGTGAGCCTGAATGAAGTGAGCGAAGGTCTCCAAATCCCTTACTTATGTGTACCGTCTAAATGGCGAATAGACTACAGCCATAACTAGAATTCTTATGGCTTGTATCTCCAAACATTAAATAAACGAACCGCGCCGCAATATCATTATCATAGACGCTGCTGGAATGAATCTGCCATTTCAGTTAGGACTGATTTACCTACAGTCTAGCAGGACATAACAGGTACAACAAGTATTCGTTGCGAAAAATTATTTCATTAGCAGAATTTGGCAGTGGCGTTAACGTTGCACCGGTGCTGCTATTCTTCTGTAACAGGCTGCGACGTTTAGTTCATAAGAAATGCGATATCAAATGAATGAGTAAAGATTCTGGACGGTCAAAAAATTAGAAAAATAAAAATGTTTTTCTAACCAAACGAGATAATATTTTTCGATAAAAGTATCTGACACGAAGCATGCACACTTTAAGCTCTAGGGGGTACAATATGATATCGAACTAGTTAACATGAAATCGACGTATTCGACACAAAGCCAAACGGTACCTCAGAAGAGACTGCGTTTCGTTGGTTGACATCATTGCACTCCCTGAAACCTAACCTAAGACAGGCACGAGTTTAGCAGACTAATAAACATTGTTTTATAGTAGCTCATATCTGTGGTCGGCGCTATGCTTTCATATAGCTCCCAAGTTATAAGATATGAAGTCGTGAACTGCATATTAAATGATAGTGAGGACTTCATAATCAAGTTAACCTATGATGTAAGTTAATTTGAGATAAACACTATCTCTATCTGTTAACTTGTACATTGACTGTATTCTGTCAGGGGCCTACACACCGAAGTTTTAAACTGAAATATCCTACGGTATTTTACGGCGCTTGAAGGGGTCAAAAGTTATCTCAGTTAACTATTTCCATCTACTCTGATGATAATGCACACATAATAGTGCTAATTAGTGAATAAAAAAACGTTACGACTAGCTGAGCGTAGAGCGAACGACAGCCCAACGCTCGTTGTTAATAACAGCGACAAGCCGACTTGTTGCATGATAGTCGAACGATTAGACGGCATCGCTGGAATTGATCCTCTACTAGGCAAGAGACGAGGTGGCTAGAGGAATTCGTGCACCTCATTTAGAATCGCAGCAGTCGGCTGAACTGGCAATAACAAAAGCGTCGCTATTTACGGCGACGTCCAAAATGGACGGCCTCGAGAGTTCTAAGACTGATTCCGTGTCGTCCGAACGATTCGTTCGCTTCTACAGGAGAAACAGACATCGAGGTCGGCTTTTTTCAAGAACCTCATCACAACCCCAGAATCGATTCGTAGACGAAGTTAGTTGGAGTGGTCCAAAACATTGCCAAAATCACACCTAACAGAGACAGAGTACTCGTTGCTATTCCAAAAGGATACATTCAACAAGCGGTTTTTGCAATTTGCAGTTGCCTAGGCAAATTATACGAGGCATACGTTAAGCGTCGTGGCAGCCTGTCAAGCCGTGGTAATGTATCCGCTGACCTGTATGCCTGTGATCAAAATTTTACTTTAGCGTATCGATCCTCACGCAACAATTAGCTAGGCCACAGTGGGCGGCGGTCATACGGTGGTTGCATGAAGGATTTATTGGTTCACTTCCAACTTCCTATTGTGACGATTAGCGATATCACAGACAAAACCTCAAGAGTACTGCTTCACGTAGACTACAACCTAGACGAAGAACGACAACCCGCTTCCAACAATGTAAGGTAAAATCTCAATCTTAATAAAAGTATTACCGACGATACGGTAGTAGCTGTACGAACTCTCACGGTGCGCATACGTATCCGTAGGCACCTAAATAGCTCCGAAACAAATACAACAAACGCGTCGGTCTGCCTTGAGTTTTTGGTCCTTTCGTCTCTGCCTTTGCCATTACCTTTCTCAACTTTTTCACTCTGTTGATGACCCCCCGCGGGGGAAATTGTCGGCGGGTATGTGACACACGCCGATCTTCTGCTGGCGTGCGTTCCGTGAAGAAAAGGTAAACAAGGGTAAGATAAGGTAAAAACATTTAGCCACACTATAATGTTGTATAATAAGAAAGTATATCGACAGCAAAACAAACCTATGGAGGCCGAGGTCGACTTCAGGTAACCGATAAATACAGATTTTAAGGTTGGATAGCTTAAATGAGGTGATGGGATTGTAGCGGCGGCGATGATATCATATAGGAAAACCGTATTCCTGATTTTCATCCTAAATATCACGCATTTGAGAACCATTAGACTAAATCTAGCGCGTATAGTAGGTATGAATTGTACATTCGCTAGTATAATCAAATGAATATTTTTTGATTGACGGATGCTACCACCGGCATCGGTTACTTGTTTTCTTCAAATTTAGCTAAATATCCATAATAAGCTATATTTCTCAACGCGATATATGTATATTGTCTGAAAAGGTTCTATCATTTTTTAACTAATTAATTATCTACTAAGTAATTAAAAATCCGTTTACGTTCTTGTAGGCCTAAACGTAGTTCCAATGCTAAAGGAATTACTGGAAGGTGTCACACAACGTCGTGGCAAGGGTTGACTATCTAAGCGTGCCTATAGCTGACTATAGGTTGTGTACATCTATTTAAAAGTGAGGGAAACACGTAACAGTGCAATCATCGTACGTCTCGCTTGAGTTATGTCTGCCAGTTTGCGCCTTAAAAATTACGAGATATTTTTGTCTAGGCGTCTCGCCATTGTTCGGCCTGCGGCCGAAAAGTCTATGTGGTACAACAACTTAACAACCTCAGGCCCAATAGTAAAGAAGATTTGTTACATTTAAAGGGAAAACTTTCAAAAGTGATTGGTTCGACAAAAGACACATATTGAAAAGTTAATGTTTGACTTGAAAGTGATTTTTTTCCGCACTGAATTAAATATAAATGTGTTTGCTGATAACCTAGTAACACTCGTGCACTGGGACTAATTTCTAAAGTATTATAGTACGAACTAATCCCTATACACGGGCAGCTGATAAAGCTGTCAAAACAAACACGAAATACGTTAACAGCGTTAGTTTATGGTCCCACCACAGGGAAGGACAACTTTTGCAAGGATATTCTAATAGAGCTACGTAATCATAAAAAACATCGATTTTTTAAGATAGGCTTTATTGGATTACGAATAGAAGAGTACAAATCCAATCAGCAGTCCCGCCAATAATCATGCTATCGCTAAGAGTATACTTAAGATTCCCTGCCGGGAGACACTAAAGGTACGATCAGTATAGATACACGCGAGCATATCTATCCTATGTAGGCGGATTCACGGAAGCGTTCGTCAACAGGTACGGTAAAACGCTTTAACTCTGCTTTTTGTACGCTGTGTCTTTGTCTATCCTTCAGGCTCAGTATCGTGCCAAATTCAATTATGGGCTAGTGGTACGAAATCTCTAGGCAGAAAGAGTTGCGAAAATGCTTTCTTCCTATGTTCCCCTCCCGTGCGCATACTTGATCTATTAAAGATTTTTATGATCTCAAAAAAAATAATGGCGTCACAATAAACGGATGGTAAACAAATTAAAAAACATACGCGTATTCTCAACGTACCAATCTGGAGCATAATCAGATTCCGATTCGGAATTTAGTATTCTTCAAAGAGATTTCCTCTTAAATAACTGAGGCATACTCGAGAACATTTAGAAAATCAGGTGACAATTAAATACCGGGGTTCTCATAAATTGTGAACTTAGTTAAGATTTTTTTTGCTCTGGGCTGCTAGGTAAGTCCTTCACTAAATCAGCTCCTACCTAGTTATTTCTTTACTTAACATTGAATGTATCTGATGGATCTTGTATTCATACTACAAATGCTAGACCCAAGAGCTGCTGATGAAGTGTACCAGTTAGCAAATTGAGCAATAAAGCAAATGGAGTCGCTCTTCAAGGATTATCGCAGGTTTAACGTACGACCACGATGTCGCCTGGTGATGGCACCTTCGATGCTAGTCGCAACCTCGTACACCCGACAGGCAGAAGGACGCCGACGCATCTGAACAAGCAATTTTCAATGCCGCTTTTTGAGCAGCGTAAACATAATATACAGGTAAGTGAGTTAGATATTGAAATGAAAATAAGTAGAACATTTTTTTACTTTAAAACGTGGATCCGGAAAAAAATGTACGTATTACATGGCTTGGATGGCTACGGGCTTAGGCAGAGCAAAGACCTTATGCTGAATGCATCACTTTGAGCCAGGTGGAGCAGAACTACCCTAGCTCACTACGATACACCCAACTCTGATTTCTCAATTGATTTCGAAAGGAACTTACCATAGATCAGCCTGCTGGACTCGTTTGTCTGTCAGTTTCATAATGGAACCTGTGAGAATATTGCACGCCATGAACATGATGTCTATTGGACTGACCGAAATCGCCAGCTCCCCTCTCCTACATTAGTTTACGATGTTGAAAGTCTATTTAGAAAGCTCAATTAAACTTAGCTGTACCTACTGTATGTCGTTTATATATAGTTTTTGTTGCAGGCTCGAAAATTTGTCCCTTAGCCTCTTCTTATCAGCTCAATAGAAAACTTCTATAGTTCATTTCAGTGAATACAAATGCATGTTCCTGTATAAAATAGAGAAAATTTTTATTACCTATGTAAGCGTTTAATTAGCATCTCAATTTACCAATCTGTTTGCTTTATAATATTATATGTATGCGGTTAAAAATATAGTGGCCTAACGCTATAACACCACGTTGTCCACATCGTATATTGATAAATACGATATATAAGGTAATATCGTGGTGTCATTCTGATTGGTCTTTTCTATTACGAAGCAATGCTGCTAGATACTGTTAGTATCATTACGGTGATAATCGTAAAATAACAAACCGTATTACAGATTTCACTCTGTTGCCATTATCGATACCGTCATTGTAAGCGCGTATCTGAAGTGCGCTATATATGATGGCTTATGGCGGCGGGTTGAATACGGCCATCATTTGTGAAGACGTTTATAATGGCAGTAAGAGCTGGGTTGCTTTAGCGTTGACGGCTTATGTACCAGAGACAGACCCATTCATGTGAAAACCCACAAGAGCTGCCTAGGCGATGCTTAGTTAAGACTGCAGGACCGGACGTAAAAGCTCGAGACATTTGTCGCTAAAGCGCATGACGTAACTAACGGTTTTAGCGGCTCCTGCGGGCAAACCACAGTTTCCGAATGAATTTGCAAAAAAAAGTATGTACAAAGTTACCTGCCAAGGCCATCAACGCTTCTCAGCTCGTCATCAGCAATGGTTTGTGAAGAAAAATACAGATACAGGCCAATACATATAATTTACTGAAGACTTTTACTAACTCGATTAAGATTACTTTAGAAGATCAATGGTGACGATATATTATATCCCTTTGAGATCAGTAATTATTCTGTAAAAATTGGTTTCTTTAGTTCACTTTTCAAAACACTCACATTCTATCTATGAGTAGAATCGATGAGCGCTTCAAGTGGCGATAAGTAGCGAAACGTTTACTATACATTCAGGTTGACGATAGAGATTAGTCTGTTTATAGTTACTCACCTAGGTTCGAAAAAAATTGTTATCTGTATAACATTCGATCGTTTACGTTCATTGACTAGATGTGTGCAGAGTCAATGTCTTAGGAATCGATCGCCGTTGGCCTCCAAGTATTTTTCTGAAACGGTCTTGCTGCTTTCATTGCCTTCTGCGCATCTTTCCCCTCACGACTGTGGTCGTCGTTTCGTTGGCCGCATCAGAGGCTGTCCGACCTGAGCAGCAATTGGCCGAAACGGCTCCGTTTTTCAGGAAGGAACAGCAGCGGCTCTCAGCATTTCGTCTCCGCACACCGGACGCTTCTGGCGTTGCTAACGGAGTCAGCTATCAAATCGTCGTTAACTATCGGGTTAGATGGCGCTGTCGTCGGCAAGTGGCGCGAACTGTTGTACAGCTCACGCCAGGGTGAGCGGGTTACCTCTGTCGCCAGTGCAAGGAACAGCAGCAGCGGACGGCAAAGACGAAGGGATGCCTGTTCGTCGTGGCACGTAACGCTGCTGCTGTCGGCCGAGCTGTTGTTGTTGGCGTTCTCCTGACGAATGGACAACAACAACAATGCAGGCAAGGGCTGGCACTGGCTTCTTTTCAAGGCCGGCCCTTCCCGTCGTGGCGCAGAAAACTCGCTCCTGGGGTGACCTGCACTTGCCCGCTTTAAACATCAACGCTTCTCAAACACAAACGATAAAGTAGTCAGCGAATGGACAGCTATTGTTCGACATGAACATCAGCATCTGGGAAAGCGCGCACTGACGTATAAAGTATTGTTGCAACTGTCTTGCTACTGATGCCCGGCGCGTTTTCAATTTATGCGAATGCTGAGTACGAACCCTCTGTCCCAGAGTTCGATTGTTTCATAAGCAACGCCGCCAACTGTACAGCCAACCTAAATGCCCTTTAAATCTTACGATTGCAATCGAACAGCGCTCAGGTCCCTAGGATCGTACACAGGAGGGCATAGGACGGACGGCAGTTAACTGCATCAAACAGAGCCGACCACAATGCGATTTTGAGGGATCACAAAAAGGGTTTCGTGCTGCAGCCTCTCATCAGTGACTGATGAAGTGGCCTGCGTCCTAATGAGTTCCCCAAATTGAGACAAAGGATTAGTACTATTGGCATAGTTACGGTTGCAGAAAATCTAAGGCACTGCCTACCTCAGCCTGTAAGTGCTTACTTTTATACAATGGTATCTCTAAGCTTCTCACCTTTACAGAGATTTAAAGAAGTCCTACTTTTAAATATCTATTAATTCTAATAAATTCCAATACGTAATTATTGCCGCCAGACCAAAAGTGCAACCAGGAAAGCTTCCTTCGGAATACCTCTCAGTGAAACATGGACTGAAGTAATACCGCCGCGATGATCTTACCTTTTGTGGACACTTTGTCCTATTAAGAGGACGTACAACGGGCGATCTTGTGCATGTCAATCGGCGCTTTATATTGCAAAAGAGAGCCTTTCTGGCGGAAATTGGAAATCAGAGGACTGAACCTGTTATCGCTACTGTGCAGTGTGTCTGTGTTAGGCGTTGCTGGATTCTTACGAGATTTTATTTACTCAGGATTCAATAGCGCAGAAGGTAAGTTCAAGGAGTATCTTTAAAAAATCCACATATAAACATATCTAAAAAATGTCCCTGTACAGGAGCCGAAATTCGTGTTTTTTCTGTTGAATGTATAGGTGCTTTTGAGATCTATCTGTATTTAGGATAGGATTTGAGACTGTTCACTAGGACATGGTCGTTCCAGCTTTTAGCAGGTCATGAAGAACTGGAAAATCCAGCGGGTGTCCTAATTTAAGTTCCACATTGAAACGCTACCAGCCGGTTGCGCAAAATTCGTATTCGATAAAAGATCTACTATAGAAAGCATCTGAGCCGTTGATTTGAAAAGTGGCTGGAAAAAATTTCGAAGTGGAAGATGTGTCTCGTGGGAGGCTCTATAAAAAGACGAATAACGTATTGTGCTGGAGCTTCTAAATGGAAGCCTTTCCATGTCAAAGCCTGCGGGTTATTAAAGAAACAGGGTAAACATATTGGACAATGTGTGTCCCATGATCTAATTGCTTTTCTACGATAACCGCACATGATTCTGTCAATGGGTAGATGCAACGATGGCAATAGAACATCATTTAGAATAGTTTGGTCACTTGGTGGTCTAGTGCAGCTCTTATCCATTGCAGCCCTATGATTCCCAGTCGGGCACTCACAATCATTGAACGAGGCAATAACTAATTTAATAGAGAATCGCTCATGTTACGTGGAGAACGTTGATTTTTACACCTCTGGTAGAAGTGCAGCAGATAAGGTTGAAGGCTCCCGGTAATCCACCATACTCACCAGACATTACTCCTATAAATTACCATTTTTTTCAGAAGTTGCCATAATCGCTTAACAGAAAAATTGTCTAAACATAAAATCGAGGTTTGACTTCCGTACGATAGACGCCTACAGCAACAAAGTTACCATCCAAAGGCCAGAAGGTCATAGATAATAACAACAGTAGATATTTTAACATAAAAAGGGGTTGAAACGTTAGAGTTTGAACACCTTCCATAAGATAGTAATCATCTCAACATAAAAAACAAACTCGTATTGTAATTACAAAAAAATCAAATCTATACTCGAGGCATTTTAATTTCTCAAAAAATCACACCTTTTTGAAAAGATACTACCATTGTTATGAATAAAGATAAAATAAACCAACTTAATAACATACTAATATCTTCTAAAGTATGTTAACGCTGTAAACAATCAGAGACATCCTGAGTGTCCTGAAAAATTAGGCGCACTCAAAGTCGGCCGGTACGATGCCAAACGTGGGCAAATTAAGAGGAAAAGCGTTCAAGTCTATTTCAATATGCGCTGTCACTGCAAGAACAAGATTTGCCGAATCTGGCCTAAAAAACGATTCAAATCTATTAATAGCTTTAGCTCACAAAAGCTAGCAAAATCTATTATTTATCTTTCACTTAGAAAAGCACTCGTTTCCATTTAAAATAAATGAACTTTGACCCTTTCCTACAATCCCCAACAGTTAACGTATTGCCCGTTAATCTTAGGTACACATCGTAATCTATGTCAAAGCCCAGACGCACGGTTCGTTTCGGGCTGGGAGCCAATCGTCTGATAGAATGCCTAATAGTAACGTAAAACTCGAAACGTAGAGGCCCTTCAATATTAAAGCCCTTTGTATCCAAAGTATGCCAATCCCGACGGCAAACTACTGAAATTGTAAGGTATGTTCTTACAATTTCAATAGTAAAGAGATTAACTTACGCTTTCAATTTTTTCTTATATTTCAAGAGATAATAAAAAGCAAGCTTGTGCTATTCTAATAAACTGATCAAACTAAGGCCACTACAGCTTTACCAAGAAAAACATTCGTCGTATGGTCGTTTGAAAATTGTTTTACATAGCATCGGTTCGTCAGTACTTCAATTAACCTACTAATCTTCACCATATATACATGTATATATATATATATATACATGTATATATATATATATATACATGTATATATATATATATATACATGTATATATATATATATATATGTGCCAATTAACGCTTCGTATGTTTGCGTTTCTTCATTTCGTACGTTTATAAAGCGTATTACTGATCTAAATGTAGTTACGATGTGCAGCATTCTTCTAGAACTCTTCGTTGTTACTTTTTTATAGAAAATCCCAATGTTGACATTAACTATTTCCGTACCTCTTCAATGATTGTATTAGCAATCTGCTGTCGACGGTGAAGAAAGATCCAGACGTACATTTTCGGCAGAAAGATTTGATTGTTTTGTTCAGAGATCGAAGATGCGCCGCAGGCAGTTTCTTCCAATGTAACTGGATGCCATAGAATCCAACTATGGTGTTATCTTGACCAGAAAAAGCCTTAGTGCCGTTTTCGTTGAAAAACTATATCGATCTTCAATAAATGCAGCAGGCACGAGGCCTTCACATACACCGAACGATTTCGTGCTTAGCACCTCCTCACATATGGACATCTGCTCCTGTCTTTGAAGGTATAGTTATTTTTTGCAAAGCCTTTGCTGATCGATCGCCGTGGCCAATTTTAATCGTTTTAGCCTCTTGTGTGTTAATTTCCAGGCCAACATTTGTGACCCAAGCCCTAATAGTACAATTTGATGAAATCGACTACCGCTATACCGTTCAATGTTATCCGCGTACATAATGCTTTTGACTTGTTGTGGGATTATTAATAAATTTCTATTAAGCCAAAAAATAGTAATAACAATAATGGACTTAGATTGTTCCCTTGAATAGTTTCCCTATTTGTTAGGGTAAAAGACCGCTGCCATTATATCATAGTATTGTTATGAGATCTAGTATTTTCGCCAAGACTCTGTGGCCACTTAGCTTTTCGAGTAGCTGAGTTCCCGAACCGAATCTGAAGGCATAAACATACCTTCAAAAGTGATATTTCAACGCCATTTAAGGATGCCGAGCAAGCCGACATCATGGTGGAGCGTTACGCGTGCACTGCTTTTCTTATGATCGACGAGCGAATGTACTAGACAATTACTTTAACGGTGAAGTTTAGTTTATACTATAACTCTTAACTTAATTTATGTATATTCAACTTTCGCTTCATCGAAACCGGCTTAGCTCCTAGCTGGCGTTGAAGAGCTGCAGAACAATTAAATGAACCTTGCTACGTAAACATTATCTCATCTGGCAAGTTTACGTACGTAAGCATAATAATGGGGTGATAGAGATGGTTGACCATTTAGATTTTCTCCGTGTACTTTATCATCGCTGATACTTGAAAACTTTTCCTTCCTAATTAGTTAGGTTTTTTTTAGATGTCCAAAACGTTATTTTTAGGTACCATCGTAGGAGTTTATCTATATAAAGTGGCACATCTAAATTTCTCCCTGACTTGCATCTCTTACGAAAGGAGTGTATTTAAACAAAAACAGATACTTCGACAAAGTGTTTTGCATGCACCAGTAGAGTTATTGTTAACAGTCACACACGACCATTGTAAACGCGATTACATCTTCAGTTCACTACCTACTTACTAGTTATTTTTAAGTTCTTAAGAAGTTTTTTTAAACTATTTTAATACATTTTCAAGCTCTTTTTAGCATTTAAAGGTTATTAAAGATCTTTCAGTTTGCCTGATGGAAATATGGTGCGCATTTTTCAGGAGAACAAAAACGGTTTTCGGTCCTGACAGGGATTTGTTTAAGAAAAAAAAACATTCGATAGTAACAGTTCTTCGTTAAAATTGCAACCACGAAACGGTATTTTCCGTCGCAGGGAAAAAGGAAGAACTCGTTTTTTTCTAGTGTGATAAACAGCGCTCCAAGATATGTCCCAAATGTCATTTTGTATATATATGTATATATTGTAAAGATGCTTATCGCGACCATTAATATCATATATCATAATCCCAAGGTAAATGCGGTACCAAAAAGCATTATGAAAATTACTGGCAATAATGTAGATCGTTGATTTCGGGCAGGAACGTTTTGATAGGGTTTTTCCAATGTTTAGTAAATATAAAGCTAAGTCGAATGAACCGTAGTAGCAGTTTGTTATTTTGGCAGCTGCAGCAGATCGAATCCTGGACGCCAGTCAGACAACAGTGTTTGCCGCTCATTATGAACGAGGCTAGAGCGCCGATCGACTTTTGACAAACGCATAAATGCCGCTAACTGGGAAGCAGACCCTACGCTCGAAGCTCTCGTTGCCTGCCTGTACGCGGACATCATGATCATATCTGCTCCAGCGCCGGTCCTTCCACACGGCAGCTAAAATGCTCGGCGTTCGATAGATGGTCTCTACTATTGTCTTCGCATGTCTAGCAGAATCGACAAACTTGTTGCTGACTTTTCGAACGGCCATGGGGCAGACGGCGTTCAGCAACGTTAGCATAGTTCTAGACAGAGCTGTTTGAGGGCTTCCCATAAGATTATACGTTCTGGTCAACGTGAAAGACTTTGTTGCGGCTGTTGTAGTCCAAGATTACGGACAGCTCCATTGTACGCCACTTTCGCCAGGACCTGGAACCGCGTTAGAGAAACTAAAAAGAAAAGGGGCATTGGGGCTTACATTAGCCCCCATTTGAGTGATGCCACTTTTCCAAGGCCTAGTACTGTGCAGCGATCTGGGCCGTCGAGTGTACCGCTCGTACAAAGCGGCCTCCTTGAATTAGAGAAGGCTCAAAAAGCGCGGAACTTTCGCCTAGGCAAGATAATAGCTAAAATTGAAGAAGAATCCCGCATTCAAACGTATGTGTTCAGCAGTAGCCCGGTCTACCGGGTCCACATTGGACGAGCTCCACATTCCATCGCCTCAGATGAAAAAACCAGAAGAAGACGGCGGGGCGTTTCGAAACCGCAAGACGTTGCAACGCCTTCTTTCTAGAGGGCAAGCTTGCAATGCGGATTCGGAAGATGCTGGTCCGGTGTGAGGTCTGCTAGCGGTGTAACCGTGACTCAGGGAAACGTGATGTCCTCACCCGGTGCCAACTCTGGAACGCCCCTTTTATAGGGTTGCGGTAGACTTCGTGGGCCCCTCAAAATCTCAGCCGATAAAGCTAACCGATAC